CTGTGGGAATCAGTCCCAGGTTTCAGTCATATACTGTGTCACCTGAAAGCCCCAACCCTGCTCCAAATCCTCATAGGCATGGCGAATATCAGATTATAGTGTGTTTCAGGGAGCACTCTTGCCAGAGAGAAGCACCATCGAAACAGCCATGCTTGGGGACTGGCCTTACTCACTGCAGAACCATGGATACAGGCTCCCCATTACTGATGGCCTTAGCGAATACTTCTCTGGTGCTATTCTGCTTTGTAAAAATGAACTCATCAATATTTCAAAGTAACCCTCTGGTTTAGGAGCTCCTACGGCCTGTGAGGTTCATTGCTCAGGTGGTTAAGCAGCAAAGAGTAGTTAGATAGCCAGCCATCCTACATTATAGAAGGAAACATATGCTCTTCTGCCATTTTTACTGATGGACCCCGACTCCAGAGGCATTTCAGTGAGATAAAGGAAGGAAGGAAAGAAGGGGAAAGGAAATATTTTTTGCTTCTGTTAAAGGTAGAGACTGCTTGTGATCCAGCTCAGTCCAGGGCCCGTGAGCAGAAGCCACAGGTCAGAGAGGAACCAAGGAAATACATTGCTTTTCTAATCAAACAAAGGGCACACACTTGCTATTCATTTTTCTCATTTTGACCCTGACTCTTCAGGCCTGCACTGTGGATACATCAAAAAGCTAAGCCGTCATTTTGTGAACATGAGGCCAAAGCTAGTAAATATGATTGAAAAAGAAGCCAGTTCCATCTGCCCAGGCTTGTGTGGGGGAAATGTAGGCAGACTAAATTAAAACACTAAAATTGATCCAAAGCTATTTTAACTGATATTTAAATGTAGATTCTGTTCCTGGACATTCCAAGGTTCATGGGACAATTGTTCTTGTTCAAAGGGTTCCTCTTTAGCGGTCCCCTCTCCTTCCTTAGGCCTGCCTTGTCCTATCCAGAACTCCCTTAAGGCATCAGACCCAGAACCACCTTCTCTATCCTGATGCACAGCAGCCTAACCATCAACTTTGAGTCTCTTTGTTCCAGGACAGGACTTTTACCCAGTCACTGACATTCGCAAAACCGGATAACCTCATCTCACCGTCTCCACAACAGGCTATATACTAAGCCAGTTATAAAGGCCAAGAAACAAAGCACTGGGATCCAAACTTTGGAAAATTATAGCCTTTTAATAAAGTCAAATGGGCCAGTGTACAGGAAGGAAAAAAATGGGTCTCTCACTTCTGAAGGACAGTTTTCAAGCCCTAAGAGCCACAACACTACTCACCTACTGGGCACATTGAGTTACAGAGGCCCAGCTCCCAGCCTAGAGGAGCACCTGATCTGACCAGTCCTTGGCTCATGGACCAAGGCTTAGACATACAATTTGTATCTCATTGCTTTTTAGGAAAATCCCATAGGCTGTTAGGAGGCCAGTTTTTCTGGGCATCTTTTCAAGAGCTGTGGACTGTCTCGGCAGATACATAGGAAGCTGTGGCTTGGCGAGACAGAGTACATACTGGATTAGGGTTCATGGGTGGGTGCATGCTGGGCATGTACTCCAAGACCTTACCCTCACACGGTAGATGCTTTGTTGCTGAGATAAATCCCCCACCCAGGCTCTGATTTCAAGCACAATCTTTGGAAGGAGCCATTAGCTCTCATTGCTAATTATTCTAGCACTTTTACTCCATTTAGTTTTTGCTTGTTTGGTTTTGGGGTTTTGTTCTGATATGAGACAGTCTTGCTGTGTAGCCCAGGCTGCCCACAAGCCTGTGGCAGTCTTTTTATCAGCAGACCAAAATTCCCAATTTACCTCTAGAAGACAGAAAGCAGATTGCGAGGTTTATGATGAAGATGCTCATCGAAGCCAGGCATCTGCCTTTACCTTCAGTGTAGGACGTAGGGTACCTTCAAAAAGCTTCGTAGCCCCTGCCCTGTTCTGCCTCCTCCGCTCTCCCTTCTGCAGGTCTCGGGGAGCCTCCTTACCAGGTTCAGTGGCTCAAAGCACATTGGGAAGAGTCACAAAGCTCTTCCTGTTCCTGGCTCCCCTCCTAAGTGTGTACCTTGGAGCCAAGGTGGTCTTGCTGGCAAAATGTGGTATAACATCCAAGCTGTCTCCTCTCAGATATGGTTGTTGGACTAAGATGGGTTTAATCTAGGAACTTAAGCCGTGTGTCTTGGAACCCTCTTTGGGGACCAGCCTTACAGAGGTCACCCCTTCTTGTCCTTGCCTTCCCTTGGCTCCTATGGTAAGTCAGTCCTCATGCTTCCTCTATGAGTCCTGAGACAGATAAATCCCAAGGGCTGGAGAACGAGAAGGGACACTGTCTGGTTCAGGGACACTTTCCTTTGACCACAGGACCTTGCCATTGAAAAGCACTTTTCAGGGTTCTGGACTCTGGGAAGGCTAAAGGCTCGGCATCTGGACAGGGCTGCTCTTGTGGTTTCAAATGGTTCTGCTGGGAGAACATCTCTGGGAGAGAATGAACACTGCCCTTCACATAGTGGAGAGTTCAGAGACACCAACCTACCCCCTCGAATCATCTCTCCAGGACTGTATTGCACCAGAAGGGTCATGCTCTCAGGACTCATCACCTCAACATGCTATCTATAAACAGCACCATATTGCATCATTGGGAGGAGCACATCCAGACCACAGCATCCATAAATCAGATAAGGCCGGCCCACCTTCTCCAATCTATCACTCAGCATAGGTGTTTCTAGCCTAAAGCATCCTGGACTCTCGTTCTGTGAGCTCCTCAGGGTAGCGGCCAGAAATGACTTTCCACCCTCCTGTCTCCTGTCCTGACACAGCACCGGGTCCACGGGAAAATCCTCCATGCTTCATTATCCCCACCTCCCAGCCGTCTCTTGTCTCTAGCAAATATCTTCCGATGCTTCAGTGGTGGGTGTAGCCAGATGATAGCCTGCCAAAGAAGTTCACAGCCTCATTTCTGGAACCTATGAATATGGTACGTTATGTGGGGAAAGGAACTTTGTAGGTGTGATTAAATTATGAATCTCGAGATGGCAGATTATCCAAGGGAGCCCAGCACAATTACAAAGGTAATTACCAAGAGCGAGGCAGGAAAGTCAGAGGTGAGAAGGATGCAGAGGGTTCGAAGGAGAAAAAGACAAGCCAGGGCAGAGGAGTGAGGGGAAAGAAAGGAGAGAGGAAGAGAGACGACACAGAGGGACAGAGGGACAGAGACAGACACACACAGACACATGCAGAGAGAGACAGAGACAGAGAGAGAGAGAGATCTGAACATGATATGGAGGAAGAGACTACTAACCAAGGAATTCAAGGCAGCCTTTGAAAGTCACAAGAGGCAGGGAAAACAGATATTTTCCCCCACAGCCCTCCAGAATCAGCACAGCCCCACAATTGCTGATTTTAGTCATGTTAAAGCCAAGTTTGGACTTCTGACTGCCAGATCTGTAAGTGAGTAAATAGATCGGCACTATTTTAAGATACTGATGTGATTTGGTTGTGATAATAATCGATAAGGAATTAATAATGTAGGAGTGAAATTGAATCAACTTTGAAGACTGGTAATATCCACAGACGCTGAACACATGCCAGCTTCATGAGTCATAACTCCACTGCCAGCTACGCCCCCCCACAGAAATGTGTATACAGGTAGGCAGGAGGTATCTCCTGCTGGGTTCAAAGCAGCATCTTTGAACTTTCCCAAGCTCAAGAATAGCCCAGATGTCTACCAGGGGCAGAATAAATCGAGATATACAGACACAATGGGATACCACACTTTTAAAAGAGTGAGAAAACCACAGCTGTGTACTGTATATGGGTCCGAAACGTAACACCAAGAGGGGAAAGCCAGGCAACAGGATGTATTCTCTATGGTGTTAGAAAACACACAAAGAGCAAAGCAGCTCTTTTCATGGTAATGTATTCTGTTTCTTGACCTGCGTGATGCTTCTGTTCATGTGAAATCACTGGACTTGTGGTCTATACCTTTTAATATATATGCTATATATACGTAGGTAAAAATGCTGAGAGAGGGGAGAGAGAGAGAGAAAGAGATAGAGAGGACCCATGCCTTTAAACTTTTATGAAGTTTGTTATGGCCTTTCTGGGGCTGTCCAAATGAATGTGTGAAAGTGAAGAGTGAGCCACCCCGGGTAGTCCACGTTCTTAGAACATACCTCTGATGCATCATGTCCTTGAGTGTGCGCCAAGTGCTCAGTTAAAGAACCATTTCATCCGAATTTTGCTTAAATAAAGAATATCTATCTAGGGGTATGTTATCTTTCCCTTTGGGGGAACTCATGCCTCTGTCTTCTGTTCTCTTTCCCAGCGCTAAAATGGCAGAGGAGACCATCAGCCTGGCTCCAGGAAACTCTTTGATTGACATTACCTGGTCAAAAAAGATCTATCTTTTCCTCTACTGGCTGCTTCAAGATATATGAAGAGCTGAAACCTTTTCATCCACTTAATTTCCTTTTTTTTTTCTTGATGTTTTTGTGGAGTTGAATACCTCAATTTTATTTTTGCAAAATTTTGTTAGCTGCTCTATTAAGCCTTAATTAGAGTATAATGAAGTCATAAATTCATAAAAATAAAAACAAGACGGTTACTCCCACAAACAGCCTTGAAGTGAGTCTCTGACTTTACCTGAAGTGGGGGAAGAGAGTGAGGAAAGGGACCCGCGAAAGCTGAATCTCAGACCCACAAAATGGATATGAGATGGAAGGGAACGTGGACACAGACCCGGACCAGGGGCACCCAGGGGTCATCTTCATTGGTCCAAGCTGTGCCCCTTTGCTCTCCACCAGTTGCAGCTGTCAAAGCTCCATTGCCTGGAGGGGAAACGGGGCGGGGCTTAAGAGCGAAGGCGGGGCCTCGGAGAGCATCTTTGGGCCCCCGAGGCCAGTACTGGTCCGCCGCCCCCACCTGCAGCGCGGTGGAGCGCGGGCGCGTCACTCCCAGCGGAAGCGCCAGCCCCGCGTCTGGCGAGGTGCGCGCCTCGCGGCTCCCGTTCCAGAGCTTCGTGGCCCGCCTATGTCTGCAGAGCAGGGGCGGGGGCCCGGTGATCGGGGCCCGGGGCCACGGACTGGGGACTGAGATTGAAGTCCTGAGACTGAGATACCGCGGAATCGTAGACAGTCATCCAGTTCAGCTCAGACGGCGCTTCGGGGCGGGAGCAGATCGAGAAGGTGAAGGACCACTGCGGATCCGACAGCGCGTCCCAGGTCAGTCTGTCCGCTGCACTTGGGGAAACTTTGGGATGCGGTGACGGCTGCGAGAAGAGGGCACTGAGGGTTGCGAGGCCGCATGGCCCGGGTGCACCCCGCAAACCGGTACCTGCCACGCATCTGACACTGCAGCTGCCGGGGTGGGGACCGAGACCCTGCTGCCGCGGACCACTGCGGGCCACCGAGGGCTAGCAGGCTTCGGGGGCCTCCCGGGAGCCTCCGGCTTGCCCGCGCCCTGCCGCGCGCCTCCGGGTCCTCGCGGGTCCCCAGCTCCCG